GGTTATGCCTCCCACTTCACTTTTGTTTCCCAGAAATGTTTTGCTTTTTCAGAGTCTCTTGCCTCTCCAAATAAACATGACAATTACCCTTTCAATTTCCTTGAAAAAAAAATTAATTTGGTGTCTGTATTGAGATACCATTAAACATGTATATTTCTTTAGGCAGGATTGTAATTTTCATAATAATGAGTATTCTTATCCATGAACAGGGAATATTTTTCTATATACTTTTTTGGTCTTTGTGTGTGTGTGTCTTGCAGAAATGCTCTGTAGGTTTGTTTCTATAGATCTTTTGTACCTCTAGTTAGGTTCACTTCCAAGTATCTTAATTTGTGGTTGGCTAATGTAAATGGTATTGATTTCTTGGTTTCCTTCTCTAACTTCTCTTCTTTACTGTAGAGGAATCTCACTAATTTCTGGATATTGATCATATCTTGCCACTCTATTAATTTGGCCTACTAGCTCTAACAGGTTTTGTTGTTGTTGTTGAGTCTTCAGGGTTTTCTGTGTACACTATCATACCATCTGAATATGACGATAGTTTAACCATCTCTTTGCTTATCAGGATGCCTTTTATTTTCTTCTATCATATTGCTTTAGCAAGCACTTCCAATACAATATTGAATAGAAATGGTGACAGTGCGCATCTTTGAACAAGAAATTATAGCTGTAGATGCATGCTTTACATATACTTTCATATGCTTTTAACACATGTTGTTGCATATTTAAGTAACAATCATTAAAATGAGGTATAAAGGGCTTCAGTTATATTGCAAAATTGGTTTCTCTTAAATAAAGCTATGTTCCTTGATGAAACAACTAGATGGAGGCTAATTTCTGACCCAGAATTTACTATTGACATAGGTTAATAAAATGTTCTAAGCCTCAGTTTCTGCAGAGAAATTTCAAAGAGAAATTTTTCAAAGTGAAATTACATGTTATATTTTATTCTGTATCAGCAACAAATAGTTCTCTTCAATTTCATGGACACACCACTAAGTGTAAAAGGAATAAATGGAATAGTTATGAAATATCTACCATTTACAAGTCAGTGGCTGTTTTTAAGTGCCATCGATTCGAGTATGACTCATAGAAATCTGATGAACAATAGCTCTGAACGTTATTCTATGGTACACTAGTCTTATCATTCCCGACACAATTGAGGCTATTGTTGCTGAAACTCTTATTATTGAGGGTCTTCCACTCCTTCACTGACCTTTTAAATTTCTAAGCATGATGTCCCTTTCTAAGGAATATCCATACCTAGTAACATGCCCAAAGTATGTGAGATAAAGCTTTTGCCACACTAGCCTTCAAGGAGTATTCTGACTACACTTTTTCCAAGGAGTATTCTGACTGCACTTGTAACTGTTGGCAGTCCATGGGATTTTTCAGCACTCTTGTCCAACACCACAACTCAAAGAAATCAATTTTTCTTCAAATCCTCTCTTGTTATCCTTATTCAGTGTGTAGCTCTCAGAAGTATAAATGGTAAATAGAAGATTGTGGCTTGAATCAAGTGCACTTTAGTCTTTAAGTTTGTCATTGCTCTTTAGAAGTTTGGAAAGACCCATGACAGCAGATTTTCCCAATTTTATGCATCCTTTGATCTCATGGCTGCTAGTACCAAAGGGTGTCGACTATGGAACATAGCAAGATAAAATTGTTGGCAATTTCTATCTAAGAATCAAAAAGCGGGATCAAAGACATCATCCATGAAGAAAGCAAAAGACTATTATTACAAAGACAAAAGAGATAAAAAGGACTAAAATGGATGTCAGAAAATACTGAAAATTGCTCTAAAGTGTAGAGAAGCAAAAACAAAGAGAAGAGCTATTGAAGTAAAAGAGAAGATAAGATTTCAAAAGACAGTTCCAGAAAACAAAGCAAACTATTTAAATGGAATGTCCAAAGAGCTAGGGTTAGTGAATCATAAAGGAAGAACTTACATTATTCACAATAGCAAAGAGATGGAAGCAACTCAAATGCTCATCAACAAATTAATGGCTAGAGAAGCTGTGGAATGGTCACACAATGGGATACTATGCAGCACTGAAAAATGAGGAACTCATAAAATATACAAAATGTGTGGCTCTGGAGGACAATATGCTGAGTGAAATATCTCAGTCACAAAAGAACAAATACTGCACTGGCGAATAATATGTTAAGTGAAATATCTCAGTCACAAAAGGACAAATAGCGCATGATGCCACTGTTATAAAACAGAACTGACAAGGGGGTTGGGGATAACTAAGAAAAGAGGGGATAGAAAATTAACACTGCATTGATGAGGCAAAGAACTATTTAAAAGGGATATATGATTAAGTGTGATTTGTATTACAACAGTTCAGAAAAAGAGGTACATAGCAAATTGGAATGGGAGGGCAAGGAAAGGGAGGAAATTGTGTAACAACGGAAGAATTTTTTTAAAGAGAAAAGTGAACTAGGGGCTGGTAGGGAGGAAAATGTGCAACAATGAATGAATGGAAATCCAAGTTTTTTGTAAACCTTTGTTTAAATATTAATAATAAAAATATAAAGAACTTGCTTGACATTTCTCAAACTGAAAACTGAAAAGCAAATTCAAGCCTAGAGTTAAAATACTGAGACACCATGGGAAAAAATCTTGAATGATCTAGAAAACATCAAAAGAAGATGGAGGGAATACAAAGAGTCACTGTCCAAAAAGAAGGGGCCAACAATGAAAAAAAAAAAGTCAGGATATGGTAATTCAGCATATGATAAAGAACCAAAGCTGGAAAGGGGAGAAGTCCAAGGCACTGACAAAAAATAAGGCAGGGCTACCAAAGTTCCAAATATTAGATGCAGTGGGGGACATGCTCATCAGTCTGTGCCAGGAAACTTGGAAAACAATACCTGGCCAACTGATTGGAAAAGATCCATGCTTGTTCCCATCCAAGGAAAAGGTACTCCAACTGAAGGTGAAAAACTGTGTAAGAGCAAAGATGGTATTTGGGGTATTTTCTTTCCTCAGAAATTTGGAGTTTCACAGAGGAAACAAATCAAAACGGCTGTCCCCCCCCCCCACATCCCTCCCTAGAGTTTACAAAAGGAGTTGTTTAATTAATTAAATACAAAGATGATGCCAGGCTGGGGGTTGGGGCACCCACACTGGGGACGTATGCTCCCTGCCTCGCCAAACCCTGAGGCTCCTGCATGTATATGTGTGGTGGTCAGTAGGCCCCTGGACACTGGAGAGGAGGAAGACAGATTCCTTTTAGCTTACAAAGTAAGCACTTTATATATAAAATGGTAGGAACATAAGAAATGAAACTAAATGGTCTTATACCTTCAGAAAAATGACGTAATTGGAGAGAATATGTGCATGTGGATGTGTCTTAGTATTTTTTTAAATATTATAAAAATATAGAGATAGTATTTACCAATTCAGTTTTTCACCAACACAACTCAATAAAATCAAGTGTCGTTTTAAAGTTAATGAAAACATTGAATAACTCATAAACCAAATAAATTATGAATGGAGCAAATTTGATGCAGTTTAGATTTTTCATTTAAAATACATTTACATTAAATGCGTTTTTTCTTTATCCAGAAACTTGAAAATATACACAAGTATAAATAAAAAAATACATATATAATCTTTAATAAAGGATTTGTACACTTATGTCTGTGTAATCCCGACTAGTGATGAGTGTCCCTCTTATCCTGATGCCACAATCTGATCCTGATGTAGCATCAGAATTGGAGGGAGACTCATCAACAACCTGCATTATGCAGATGATACAACTTTACTTGCTGAAAGTGAGGAGGATTTGAAGCACTTGTTGCAGAGGACCAAAGAATACAGCCTTCAATTTGGATTGTATCTCAATGTCAAGAAAACAAAGATTCTTACCACTGGACTGATAAGAACATTATGGTGAATGGAGAAGAGATTGAAACTGTCAACAATTTCATCTTACTTGGATCTACAATGAACGTCCTTGGTACAAGCAGACAGGAAATTAGGAGATGTATTGCACTGGGAAAGTCTGCAATTAGGAATCTCTCCAAATTATTGAGGAGTATGATGTCACTTAGAGGATTAAGATGCTTCTGATTTAGGCCATTGTCTTTTCAATCACTTGCTGTGCACCTGAGAGCTGGACAATGAATAGGGATCACAGAAGAAGAATTGATGCCTTTAAGATGTGGTGTTGGAGAAGAGCTCTGAGCATCTATCTTATGGATGGCCAAGAGAACAAATAAATCTCAGAGAGGGTGCAGCCAGAGTGCACTTGGAGGCAAAGATGATGAGGCTTTACTTCACATACTTCTGTCATGTTGCTAGAAAAAGCTATTCCTGGGAGAGACATGTTGCTTGGAAAGGTGGAGGAGAGGAAGACCCTCAACCAGGTGGATTAACATAGTCACTGCCAGCTCTAATGTGTCAGGAAGAATGAAGATGGCATGGAATAGAACAGGGTTCGTATCTGTTCTTCAAAAGGTCACTATGGGTCGTACTCGACTCGAGGGCATCTACCAACAATCAAAACTCTAAAATTTTGATGAGAGTCTAAAGTAAATAAAAGAACAAGCAGTTCTACTTCTCATGAGAAGAAGCAAACTAAGAGAGGGTATGGACTGAAGGTACAAACTCTCCAAAAGAAGTTAAGCTAAATAATTAAAAATACAATTGAAAATGAAAAATTTTTTTCCACACAGAGTCTTCGATAGTTTTGGGGGATTTGAGGCAATATGATGAGCTAAAAGAACACAGCATGTCTCTAACTTACTTGGTATACCTCAAGGTCATCAGTAAAATGTTTCAATTGGTTTTGGGTTGTTTTCTTCACCACTCATCCTATTAGCACAGGCAAATCAGCTGTGATTCTACTACCAGTGCTACAGGAAAATTCTTGTTATGTGATTAATGAATTTGACAGTCAGTTCTTTTGAAATAGATAAAATCAATACATTAGGGGTTCCACCCCTTCCTTTAACACAGATCTTTGTTCTCTTTGAATCACTCCCCAGCAATGGCTTTATTCCTGAAGGTGTTTTTTCTGGTCATTCTGCTTCTTCCATCATCACCTGCTGAAGCAAAGGTAAGGTATTCAGATAAATTTATGAGATACCATGCTACTAGACAGCACCTAACAATGACAGCAACATGCTATGAGAGTAGGAGCTTTTGTGGTCTAGCGGCAAGGAGTTGCTCTGCCAACCTAAAAGCATGCACTTCAAATCCACCACTCTGACAGTCACAACAACACACCACAAGAGTAAATAATTAAGAGTGGAATAGCAAAAGTGTTGGATACAGCACATAATAATCACTGGTAACTTAGACTATTTCATATAGTTGTCTAGCTCAAAGTTTAAAGCTGTATTGTCTGATATAGTAACTACTAACTAAACGTGGCTATTGAATGCTTGATATGTGTCTATTCTAAATTAAGATTTATAATAAATGCAAAATATACACTACATTTCAAAGCTACAGTTTGAAAACAAAGGCAGTAAACAATCTTTTTCTTATTTTTTATATTGAGCGTGTAATAAAATTATATTTGCATACTTCCTTATTTTATATATATATGTATGTATTTTAGGGCTGTAAAACAAATTACTATAAATTAAGGAGAGCTCTAGTGGCCTAGTGGTGGTAAGAGACTGTGCTATAATCCCAAAGGCATGTGGTTTGAATCCACCAGCTGCTCCATAGAAGGATAGGCAATCTCCTTCCATGTGATTCACTACCTCAGAAAACCCAGTGGAGGGTCACCATGGTTGGTTCTCACTCAATGGTGCACAATAATAGCAGCAAGGAGAGCCTCTAGGTGGTGCAAATTGTTACTATCCTTGGCTACTAATTGAAAAAAGCAGCTCTCCTCATAGCACATTGAAAGAAAGGTCTAACCCTCTACATTTGAATAATTAGCCATTGAAAAATCTGGAACGCACAATTCTACTCCAACACACATGCATCTGACATGTGCTGGAATTAAGTAAATGACAGTTGATACAGAGACTTAGGAACCGACAATCAGGCAAGAGCAATAGATTAGAAAGTAGATGGTAACTACTACTGGGAATATACCCCAAAGAGACCGTAACTGCCACCCAAGCAGATATATGCACACCCATTTTATTGCAGCTTTGTTCACAATAGCAAGGAGTTGGAAAAAACCCAAGTGCCCATCAACAAACGAATGGATAGAGAAACTGTGGTATATTCACCCAATGGAATACTACGCTGCATTGAAAAACAAGGAACTCATGCAATATTATTCAAAATGGGTGACTCTGGAGGACATTATGCTGAGTGAGGTATCCCAGTCACAAAAAGACAAATACTGCATAGTGCCACAGTTGTAGAACAGGACTGACATCAGGGTTGGGGTAAGACTGAAAAAAAAACTGGATAAATTATGTTTATTGACACAGATGAGAGAGAAAATAGTTTAAAAGCGACATATGATTGGGTATTATGGTTATTACAAGAGTCCAGAATGAAAGTTGTATAGTGGAGTGTAGTTGGAGCGGGGTGGTGGTGGTGATTTTATACCAGTGAAGGAATTTTTCTTTTCTTTTTCAAAGAGAAGAGTGAACTATGGGGTAGGGGTGAGCAGGGAGAAAGTGCAACAATGTATGAATGAAAATCCAAAAATCTCTGTAAATTTTCATTAAAATAAATTTAAAAAAAATTAAAAAGTTGATGGTGGCAATAAAGAGCAAATCTATGACAGAGTTTGGAGAGCTCTAACTAAATAGATTAATATGAAAAATACAGTATTTAGAGAGCTCAGAGGAAATATTTCAGGCCATCAGAGAAATTGTGCAAAGGGAAACATAAGATTTAAAATTGATTTCCATCACTTTTATAAATCTTCATATAGCAAATCTTCATATAAAATTACACTATTATATAAATTTAAATAAACAATATCTTTAACCTTTGTACCCATAATGCATACACTTCTACTTCAACCCTACCACACCCTCACTCCAGCCTGTGTCTGTCCTCTGTAAAGACAAACTAAAAATCTAAGCATTTGGGTCAATAATTTTCTTGATTACAAAAGTAAAAAACAGTCCACAGATTGGATGACTTCCCTTTCTCCAGATTGCCCTGAGGTTTGATTTTGCAAAACTGTCTTCTAAGCAGTTGCTATAAAATCTGCTACACAGTAGGTAGACTTTTACTAAAATATCAGACTAGCTGTGCACTTGAACTGAATGGATACATATTTCTAATAACAAGCATCATGTCAAGTCAAAGTCCCTCTAAAAGACTAGGATGAATCATTTTCCAATCCTCTCCCCTTCAAGTATGAAGTACATAGCCTGCTCAAGCATGAATGCATTCATTTGTTTTAATAATCCCCATTACACATCTTACTGTTTTCAGACAATACAAAAAATGTGGAAAAATTATCTTAATATCTCCCTGGATCCCCAAAATTTACATTTGTGTCCTTAACAAACTGTTAAAACTTTTCTGCTGTGAATCTCATCCTCACACTCAAAGCTTCAAATTACATCTTTCCTTTTTTGTGTGTGTGTGTATGTTTGTGTGTGTACCATTAAATCGGATCTGACCGGTACAGGAGGAGATCATCTGGTGGATTCGAACTCAATCTCCGGGATTGCAGTGCAGCTTTTTGCCACTAGGCAACCAGAGCTCGTCACATCTTTACTACTTAAAGATTGCCGTTTTGACTCAAAATTACCAACAAATACTGGCTTAAATGATATAATTTTCAAAAAGCATCTTTGTTCACTTGCATTAAGTGGTTCCTTATCATCTGTAACGTAGGGAGTTCTGGTGGCCTAATGGCAGGAAGCTGCGCTGGTTCAAGGCTCCCAGCTGTTCCATAGAAGAAGGATGGGCAATGTCCTCTGTGCAATTAAGCGCCTCTGAAAACTTGCTGGAGGGTCAGCTATGGGTTGGTTCCGACTCTATGGTACACACAACAACGAAAATGTTAAAACATGTTAAAAAGAACTGTAATCTTATTATTTTTTTTAGGATCCAGCTTTTTCTGCTTTGCTAACTACTCAAACATCAATACAAAAGGAGATTGTAAACAAACACAATGAGCTAAGGAAAGGAGTTTCCCCACCTGCCAGGAACATGTTGAAGATGGTAAGAGGCAGTAATTAAAGAGTGACAGAAATAGTTCAAATCTGACTTGTCTTTCGAAGTTCAATTTCTTTTTTGCTATTTTATTTGCTCTCTTAGATGAACAATATAAATTTTGTGGGTTTTTTCTTAAATAAATTATTAAATAACTTAACAATGCTGCAAAGCTTACAAGTTGGGAGGCAGAATTAGAAGCCAGATCTTTGGACTTTCAATGGGAATCAATTACATTTTTCTATTTACTTTTTCTAGGATCAAGAAATTTTCAATTTAAGATGAATGTCAGCGTAAAGGACAGGCTGCTTCACTGAGCACAGTTGAAATATATATATATATATATATATATATATATATATATATATATATATATATTTGTTTATTTTTTAATTTTACATTAGGCTGCATACAAAGTTGGTATGCATTATGTTTCACACTATCCTTCATTCATATTGTGTTTCATAAAATCAATCACCGTTGAACCATGTCCACTATTACCCTGTCTTTCCACATCCCTACCAGATCTGTCCCATTTCCTTTACCCATCCCCTCCACCCACCAATTTGTGGGACTCTGTGATTTCCCCCTTGACCACACTCACCCCTCTGTTCCCACTCCTTCCCTCCCTTGGATCCCCATACACATTCACTATTCTCATCTTTTTGTGGCTTGGCGCACAAAAATAAGAAATACTTCTAAGCGCTCTGTTGTTCAAGTGAAAAATAATTGTCATGTGATAATTCACATTTAAAGTAAGACCATTACTGAAATTTCATTAGCTGTGGCTACTGTACAAAATAACCTTGGTGATACAGTGGTTAACTTCTCAACCGCTAAAACTAAAAGACTGAAAGGTCTGAATTCACCAGTTGTTCCTGGGGAGAAAGACAAGATGGCTTGCTTCAGTAAAGAGTAAAAGCCTCCAAAAGTTTATGGAACAGGTCTACTCTGTCATATAGGGGCACTATGAGTTGGAATAGGCTAGAGAGAAGTGAAGTTGAGGGATTGTGTGTGTGTGTGATTAGTTTGTGGAGTTTTTTGTAGGTTGATTTTTTTCCCCCTGGTTTGCTGTTCTGAGTAAGCAGAACAATATATGTCATAAATTTTTTTCTAACCCTTAGATACGTTACCTATGCATTCCTTTTTGTGGAAAAAGTTGCATGGGGCAGATAAAGACATACCAAACGAACAAAAGCCCTTTAATAACAATATTACAAATCTATCTACCAATCTGGCTCTGAAGTTTATGGTCCACTATGGTTGAATCATTAAGTCTAATTTTTTTTATGATATTTAGGAATGGAACAGAGATGCAACAGCAAATGCTCAAAAGTGGGCAAACAAATGCACTTTGGACCATAGTAATCAAGAGGACCGAAAAACCAGTACGTAAATGAGTATGCACTCCTTGAATGAATGAACTCACAAAATATTAATGAATCTTTTTGTGAGTCAATATGTATGTAGAAAAATAATTCTGAGAAGAACCATTACTGATTTGTTTTTATTATGTTTCTTGCAAAATATCTCATTTTTCCCCTCTAAATCAGTTCATGAGTAATGACGTTGTTAGGTGACATCAAGTTGACTATAATTCATAGTGACCTTAACCACAGATCAAAACCTTTTCCTATCTTCTGCTATACTTATGATTTCAAATGAAGATATCTTGGAAAAAAAAAGTTGAATTTGGGGAGAAAATAACTTCCTTGAGAACACAGCCAGAAAACAGGGTCACATACTAGAAATCTGGAATCAGGTGTCTGACTTCTAAATCACTGCTTTTTGTGATATTATGTAGCCTTTTCATGTTTAGAAATTTGGCATTTGAAATATGCTTAATTATGTGACACTGCCCTTGAATTTTGCTTTTAAGATAATTAATTTTTTAAAAATAATCAGGATGAGTCTTTTAAACATGCTAAACAATTTTTTTCAACTGGTGGCATCAAATGCCAACCTTTTTGTATAGAGTAGGTACTCTCTGCTTTTCTAAGTATGATATTCTTTTCCAAGAACTTGGTCCTCTGAGGACATATCCTAATTATTGACGTTTTATCATCCTTGCCTCTAAAGAGTATCCTAGTCACATTTCTTCCAAGACATATTGTCGTCTACTCTTGAGAATCGATGGGACACACAGTACTCTTCACCAACACAATCCTTTAAAGGCATCAATTCTTGTTTTCTTTATTATTCAAAATTGATATGCTTATGAAACAATTGAAACTTGACCTATGGCTGGGATTCAGGTGCACTTTAGTCTTCAGCACTTTAAAGAGGTTCTTGAAAGCTAATATGTGCAGTCCAATATATCCTTTGATTTCTTGACACCTGCTTTTATGAGCATTGGTTGTAAGAAAAAGTAAAAATTAAATTATTATACATCACATTTCAAGAAACCTAAAAGTTGTTTAAAAGGGGTTAAAAAAAATAAGAAAATCTTTTTTAGGGCTGTAAGACTCTTATGGGAGCTCTGGTAGCCTAGTAGGTAAGGAGTTGTGCTGCCAACCCCAAAACAAATGGTTTCAATTTACCAGCTGCTCTGTAGGAGAAAGATGAATAATCTCCTCCAATGCATTTACAGCCTCTGAAAAATCTGCTTGAAGGTCACCTGCGAATCTGTTCTGACTTCATGATACATAACAACAAGACATTTCTTGCATATTTTCAGGGAAGAATTTGGGCTTGAAATATCAATTTACTGATTAAAAGAAAACATTGTAGCTGTTGTGATATTGTGGTTTCTGGTTTTATTTTTCTTTAAACTATAATCTTTGAAAAATATTCTTCCTGGTATCATTTGTCTCTTGCTTGAGGTTTTTAG